GTAACTTTTTTTTGGTTAAAAATGATCTGAAATCAATATTTGAGCAAGTACATAACCAGCCAGTGTTCAAAACTAGAGCCTTACTTTAGCCCGATTCACAACGGTTAGTTTATAATAATATTTCCTCATTTGAGTGGTATGGGTAGGTTTTCTCGGAAAATTCAAATTATATTCCAGTTTTAAATGTGCTTCTGATTACAGATAGCCTGGGATTACACAAGTAATTCGAAACCAGTTCGAAAAGAGCATAATTAGCTTTTTGGGTAAAATAATTTCTTAATATGAAATTCGAATGGTATGACAATTAGAGATTAGACTGTCCAGAAATAGCACCGGTGCGGTGACTGACTGCCACACATACTCCTCAAAACATTAGATTCATATGCACTGGAGCCGTGCACAACCTTCCTTGCACAACCCACGCAAGGAAGATAATTCCACACACAGCTGCAATTGCAGGTTTTCAAACAGAGATGGCGACAAAGAGGCAAAACTTACGGACTGCAGTTTTAAGTGAAGTTTACATTCACTAATCGTTTAGCAGATTTTTTTAAAAACTAAATTAACTAGCGGATTAAGAATACAACAAATACATAAGCTACACTTTTAAGGTACTTTAGAGCAATGATTTTTCTCAAAAATGAAAATTGTGTAAATTTTGTGTAAATCACCTTCATCTTCCAAATCGTGTGATTACTTATTTCTGTAAAACACAAAAGGAGAAGTTGTGCAATACAATTTTGCAAAAAAAATGTCCAAGCAGATCTAATTTATATCATGGAAATATATAGTAACCAGGGGAGTAAATTTCGTCTAACAGTAGGGGGGGGGACAATAAACATATATTTCTCAAGGGCAATTTTTGAAGGGGACACAAATAATACAGCTAAAATTGTACTTGTAAGGATATGTATACACAGAGGAAAGCTTTACTACTATTACTGCAGCAGGGAGGCTGTGCCAAATTAGACAACTTCAAGCTGTTGTGGTCGCGCTGTGACAGCTCTCGTGTCTGTTGTAGACATTACTATCCTTCACAGTGTTGCAGAGTCTGCGGTTTTCCCATGGAATTGGACTACTTTACCACTGTTGCCGCAGGTTGTTTTTCATGTCCACGGGTTGAAGCGACCCCAATAATGTGATATTTAGCCCCTGGAATATGATTTTTACCAGGGAACCCCCTCCGAAATGTAGTTAGTTTGGGCTAGTTTTGAGTAGGAATTGGGCGGGTTTTGATGTGAAAACCTGGCTACCCTGTCCGTCAAGCAGGTAACGTTATTATAGATAACATAGCGGACTCAGCGAAAAATACATTGGCATCATCTGTATTAAAGAGAAAATAATAACTTAATCCGATGTTTAAGTGAATAAAATAGCCTTGACAGCCTTGGAGTTCCACAGCTATTGACTTTGTTCTCTCTCACCGGACTCGTGTGTGTGTGTGTAGGTGATGTAAAAGAGGAAAGCAGGCATTTGGACCAAAGCACTGTGAGGCAAGGGAGGGGGAGACTCAGAATGTTTCTAAACTCAAAACGCATTTTTGCCTCGTTACTTACACAATTATTTAAAGTATAAAACATTGTTATTTACAATACACAGCGTGGTTTATAATCATATTTTTAGGGGGGACAACCCTCAGATGTTTCCGCCTATGATAGTGACCAGTTGTCAAATTCCAAAAGGACAAAACACATGAATGAGATTTCGGACATTCTCTCTCTGTAGGTTATCAGGCTGTATGGTGACAGAGGAAGGCTGTGGTTATTTGTCTTCAGCTCTGAGTTCAAACCCCTCACACCTGAGAGAGCTGGATCTGAGCTACAATCACCCAGGACACTCAGGAGTCCAGCTGCTCAGCAACAGACTGAATGATCCACTCTGCTCACTGCAGATTCTCAAGTATGTGGAGCAGTTATGACTCATATGTGTGTTTGTTTGTGTGATGGGGTCAACAAAGAGCAATCTTCTAAGAAAGTCTGTGAGCCAGGGGCGGCATTTCCTTATGACAGAGTAGGGTTGGGCGATATAGCTAAAAAATTTATCAACAATATAATGTTTCATATCGTTCGGTATCGATAATTATTGACATTTTTATTATAACCTTTTTTAAAACAAAGAGCAATAGAAAAAAATTAATTCAACCGCTGTATTTTTAATTTACCCAATTTAAGACAAACAACAATTTCTTTTGTTTGTTTTAACAGTCAAACACAAAATAAAATTTAAACAAATATCTCATTTCTTATGTCTTATATTCAGATTAAATAGCCACAGGAGGGCGCAATGAGCAAAATAATTAATATATTAATATATTATTATTAATAATAGCGAATTAAATTGTTTATGTAATGCAATTAAAATAACAGTCTATAAAAAATGTGCACAATGTCTAAATTAACATATGTAAATCAAATATAATTTAATAAATTGCATAAACAATTATGAACAAAACAGCATCATGTATTTATACATAGCTTAATTGAAATAGACGAAGCGCCGATCACGCAGATTGCATTTAAAAACATGAGACGCAGTGAAATGGAATAAACGTCCACAAATTCGCAATGTGTTTTCTAAAAGTTTAAACTCTTTTAACTTTACATGGCTTTCTATACATCTCTTGCGTGAAACACGAGTGCAACGGTCATAGTTGTCTGTCCCAAAAATGCGCCTAATATGCTTTCTTTGTGAATGGCTTGGTTTTGGTTTTAACCTAACCAATAACTTCTCCGCATTGAGCTTCTACACTCTAAAAAATGCTGGGTTGTTTCAACCCAATGTTGGGTCAAATATGGACTAACCCAACTGTTGGGTTAAAAAGCTAATTTAAAAATTTTACCAAAATTTAACCCAACAGTTGGGTTAGTCCATATTTGACCCAACATTGGGTTGAAACAACCCAGCATTTTTTAGAGTGTA